ACAGTTTTTCTTTTCTCCAGATTCAGCATCTGGCTAGCCTCTGGTTCTTGGGATTTGAGGTAGCAGACTGATGTCTGACCTGTCTAGTCTGGTATTCACGAGCTTCTGCAGTCCTGTAAGCCAATAGCCTGTCATCTGACGTGTCAATTGTGGGTTCAGCATCCCTTGCAACCACATAAGTTGGGAGAAACTGCCAGCCTGACACATAGCCCATAGATTGGTACTTTCTAGTCACCACAACCACATGAGCCATTTCCTTGAGATAATTTCTCTTTCTTCTGTTTCTCCTGAGCTAAATCTCCCTCTTCTCTCTCCCACCCATCCATCCATCCATCTAAACACATGCGCGCGTGTGCACGCACAGACACACACACACACACACACACACACACACACACACACTTCTCTGTAGAGAACCCAGCCAAGATAGAGAGAGTCTGGAGCTCTGAGGTTATCGGCCACAGTGAGGTGGAAGGGGAGGCTCTAGGGCCCAACGGGAGATGGAAAAGGGAGCCCCTAGCCTCTTTGCCTTTCTCTTTAGGAGGGGCTTGGGTGAAATCCATTTCAACCACCCTCAAGGTACCCCAGCTATGGGAACATGTGCCCCTCGGAACCTTAAGTTGTTCTGCAGCAGAGAAAAGACAATGGCTCCCGACCAAAACTAGGAGAGTTTGCGCCTGGCTCCACCATGCCCTCTCTGAGCCTCAGTTTCCACATTGGCACCTTCTGGGAGCGAAGCAGAGCACCCACCACGGAGCCTGGCTCAAAGGATGGTGGCCACCTCTGCTACCTTGGACGACAACCTGGAGAGGTTTGGGGCAGCTGGGTGGCCCCAGGAAGAATCCCAGCTATAAGCCTTACTTATTGTGTGATCTTGTGTGAGACCCAAGCCCTGTCTGCGCCTCACTTACATTGTCTGGACAACAGGCTGTGGGAGGGGACCTGTCTGTAAGGAAGTCCAGGGGCAGGGGTGACACTGGGGCCATTCATCCTTGGTAGAGCCCCCTAGCCTGGGGCATTCAGCGGGGTCAGGCCCAGGCTCAGCCTCTTGCCTATTGCACCTGCACCAGTCCTCCAGGCAGGCTGCCCACCAAGGTGTCTCTGGACCTGGCCCATCCTCAACCATTGTTTCTATGGGAGCGGGTCACTAGGTGAACATGCCAACAGATCCTCTGGCCCTCCAGTGCTACCCACACCCTACCCCACCCCCAAGGACTTGGGCAAGAGATGCTTGGCCTGGCAGATTCCAATCCTGGCTTTCAGGGTCTGCATGACCTTACCCTTCCCAAACCTCAGTTTCCCATCTATAAACTAGGGCCCACTGTTGCCACTCTTTCATGGGACTGTGGAGATCAATCAAGACCATCCTCATTCATTGACCTCTCCCCATGAGAAAAGGGGGGCTTGGAGGGCAAAGACCTGTTTGTTGAGAAACAGGGTGGGGGGCATGGTTCTCTCTGGGAGCCACCACAACGTCTCCAGCCCCAAGCATTTGGGCCGCATTTATTGAGCACTCGCTATGTGCCAGCTGTGAGCCCCTGCTTCACCAGTATGGGCAGCTTCCAGGGAAAACAGAGGCTCACACAGCAGGGCCCAGTGGACCCAGGGCTGGATTCTGGAAGCACCGTGTGCCCTTTCCTCTGGGGCTCACTTCAGGCTGCTCCCTGGCCAGGTGGCCTCTAGTGACGCATCTCTGTGTCCCTGAGGATGGGTCGTGGCACTGGACAGGCCAAGAGGGCGCTCACCAGCAGGGGAAACATCTGGTGCGATCCCAGTGTGCACTCTGCTGCTGGGAGGAAGGGCTGGTCCCAGAACGAGACAGTGACACCCCCTTGACTCCCTGCTCCACATGGCCGGACCCCAGCAGAGCAGTTTTCCAGAATATCCAGGCCTGGGCATCCTCTCTCTCGCCTCCTTTTGCTCAGTGTCACCCTACGTGTGCGGAGAACCCTCTTGTCCCACCATGAGTTGCCTCGTCCCTACAGCGCCCCCGCCTGGCAGGCTCCTCCTGCACTGCCGCTCACACAGGTGAGGCCATGGGCCTCAGGGATTGGCAGCCCAGACTACTACGATGTGCCTGCCCTTGGTGCTCCTCCCTTTGAGTAGGCACAGGAGGCATGCTGCCAGCTCCCAGCCCCGCCCAGTTCCCCAGCCGGGCACCCTTGCACAATAGCTTACACAATGCACCAGGGAGTCCCTGGCCTGACGCCACACAGCTGGTGTGTGTCTGGCCCATGCAGCCCTGCACACCCCCGGGGTGGGACCAGAAGGCTCTTTGGAGGGAGCTGGCAGAAGTTGAGATTGGCCTGGCTCCTGCCCCCTGGATGTCAGCAGCCTCCTGGATGTGTGGCCTGAAGCAGCAGGGAACACTGGGCATGGGTGCTGCCTTCACCTTTCCTCCACCCTTGCCCACTCTGTGAAGGAGCCCCAGACCCGGGAGGGGCTGTCCTCGGGAGGAGAGCCAGCGACAGAGTGGTCTTCGCCTCGGCAGGTCTGGCTCATATCTCTAGGGGATAAGTCCCCTTCCCACCATAGGCTCCTCTTTGGCACAGGCCCCTCCCAGCTGGTTCCCTTCCCACCCCGGACTCCCTGACACCCACCCTTCTGCCTCTGGCTTCTTTTTGCCTCCTATCCCCAGAGGGTGCATCCCTGCTGCCTCCTACAGCCTCTCCCCAGGGACAGTGCAACTCATGTACTCAAGGGTTCAGGGCCTGGGGCTGGTCCCCTTTTCCCATATCTGGAAGCAATCCCGGACCTTCGGCACTGCTCAGAGTCCTACCCTCCCAACAGGGGTGGGGTGGGGGTGGGGGCTCTGAGGAGGTGATGTCACGTCTTTGGGCCTCAGTCGCCCCATCTGTGAGCTGCGCTGCTGTGGGGTCCCTGGGAGTGAAGCATGGAACCCTCATCAGAAGCATTGGTGGTGGTGGGGTGGCTTCTGTTAGCCCCAGGGTCCCCCGCTCACACATTTCTACCACAGGATGCCCCTCAGAGCGGCGTTGATGCCAGTCTGCTGAACCTGGGCTCCAAACGCGTTTCCCCGCAGCTGCCTCTTGCAGGGATAGGCTGGGCTCTTGGCTTCTTCAAGGCCAGTCCATCTCTTTGGGGTCACCTTGGTGCCCTAGGGGTCTGAAAATCTGAGCTCAGAGGCCTTGGTCAGGCACCAGATCGAGTGGGGGCAGCTGCGATGGCGCCCCTGAGTGAGGGCTGCCAAAGGCTGTGGCTCAGCTTGGTGAGAAAGGGCAGCTCCCCATCTGACTCGCCGCCGCCCACCCCCCACCATGCTTCTGCTGGGTGCTTGGCTAGAGTCACCCTGAACTGGAGGAGGTGAGTGGGGGCCACAGGGAGACAAGCTCCTTTTGCCAAGTCCCCCCGTCCCTGAGGCCCTGGGGTCAGGGATGAGCAGCAGGCAGGCCAGGGTTCGTCAATTTGATTCCTGGATTGTCCACCCAACAAAGCCCACGTGTGCAGGTGGTCACTGTTGACGGTGCCGAGAGAAGGAATGTGCGGCGGAGAAGCCACTGGGCGTCTCCAGCTGTGTCCCCCGCACCAGGGCCATCTTCTCACCGCCATCTTCCCAGCAGCCCAGCTCACTGATGGGACCAACGGAGGCCCCAGGAGGTGACGTCACCAGCTCCAAGCCTCACAGCGGAGAGGCTAGAACTTGCCAAACTCACCACTTAGCTGGTTGCCCTTCACCTTATAACCAAGCTGAATAAAACGGCATTTCGCGGAGTTGTCTGCCCCCACGTTCCACAGACACATCTGGGGGGGAGTTTCCAGGATGGCGTGACTTCAAACATGAGTGGCGTGGCATCTAGGAAACTTTCTCCTGGGTTCCCACAAGTCCCCCAGAGGCATGTGGTCATGGGCCAGGGGCAGCAGGCACAATCCCACCTCCCCGTAGCGCTGGGCAGGGCTACTGACGTGGCGACACCCAAATGCTCCTGCTGGCCAGTGGGAGGCATTTGGCCATTACAGGGGCTCGAGTCAGTGGGCAGACCTACCTTCCTCGCAGCTCGGCCCCGAGCGCCCGGGGCAGCACCTCCACTCGCGGGCAGTCACGGTCTTATACATCACCTTGTACGTGGGCCTCACCACGGTTCTGTACCTGGAAGGGTGTCCAGTGGGGTCAGCTCAGACAGGGCTCTCCGCCCCCCGACCCACCCACCCAGGACCTCTCTGAAGCTTCCCTTCTCCTGCTTTCTGGGGTTCAACCCCTAAACCCTCCTACGTGGGAGTTGGATACTAACTCCCTGTAGGTGAGAGCTGGCCTGGCACCCACAGTGGACACCCAGGGGTGCCAGGAAATGGGGGGACACCTCCTCCTGGGGTACCTCAGGAGCTCACGGGAAGCGCTGAGAATAAGCCTGGGGGCCACCACTCCCTGCTCCACCTACCCATGAGGCGCCAGTCTTGCCCTTCTCCAGCCTGGCCTCACTTACCCGCTCCCGGGACAGCTCATGGGCCAGGGGCAATTCGGCAGCACTCGCTGAAGGTAGGTGCCATTCTGCACGTGGCACGAGACGGTGCGGGTCACCACGTACGAGCACCAGTTCCTGGAGGGGACCAAAGTGGAGCTCAGGTCCCTGGCCAGGGCCCAAGGCAGAGATGTCCTGAGTTCCTAGAATCCTTTGGGCCTGTCTGGATGCCCAGTGCTGCCTGTGGCTGAGAGGTGGAGTCCATGGTCCCAGAGGGGGCAGCTGAGTGAGGGGCTCTCGGGACATCTTGGGAGTGACCATCAGGTAGCAAGAGGGTATTTTATCCGCCTGAACTGTCTCTCCAACCCTGCCCCATTCCTGCCCCACTGTCTCCTGCTCCCCCGCCCTGGATGGCAGCTGTGGCCCTCCCTCTACCCACTCCATCAGATGTGGAAACCTGGCTGTGCCCCCCAGAAGCTCCTGTTCCACACCTGCCATAAAACCCCCGCACCTCCAGGCCTCTGTTGAGGCACTGCCTGGGGCGCCACCCCCCACTTCTCTAGCAGCACCTGCTGGTCTTGTTAGCTGCTGGGAGTCGATCCCGGCTCACGGGGACCCCTGTGCGCAGTCAAACTACTCCGTGGTATTCTCAGAGCTGGAACTTTTCCAAAGTTGGTTGCCAGACCCATCTTCTGAGGGGCGTCTGTGTGCCAATCATTCAGGTGGTGGTTGAGCATTTAACTGTGTGCAGCCCCCGAGGAGTCCTCCAATCCTCAAAGCCCACCCTCTCCTCATTGAACCCAGGTCCCTGCTATCCATCCCCCCAAACACCCCATGCAGCCATCTGCTCTTCGCCGCCGGGATGGAATGAAGCTGCAGCTTCGTGGCCGGCCCCTCGCTCGGCTCCATGTCCCCTCACTGTGACAGCGTCCCAGGCACGGAGGGCTGACTTCTCCAGTGGTCACTTCACAACCCCGGCTGCGCAGACAAGCACCTACGTGCCCCATCCTCCCACAGAGAGGCAGGAAAGCATGCTGCCCCAGCCCCTTCTCACCTTCTCATGGAGAGGTGGAGGTGTGCAGATGTGGATGCCCAGCCCCCCACTCCCGGGGGCGGGGCACGGTTCCTCCCCACCTCCTGTGGCCACGGTCCATAGCGCTGTGAGGACCTCAGCCTGGGAACCAGCTGACCCTGGGCTGAGGCCACCGGGGAGTCACAGGCTGAGGAGGGTCACCTGAAACCTCCTCTCTCGTCCTCTAGTCCTGACACGCAGCACAGAGCCCATGACCCCGTGTCGGGCTGAGGACCACGGAGCACCTGGAATGTCCTAGCCACCTGAGGGGTGCCCAACCCCACCACCGTCCCTCCCTCCACTGCCCTGCCCCCAGCGGGTCCTGGAGGTGGAGTCCCTGTACTTTGCTTGTTGGTGGAATTGGAATGCTCTCAGGGAGGGGCATTCCCTGGGCAGAGGCACAACAGTCGGGGAGCTGGCAGAAGTGCCGGTTCAGTTTGGCCCACAGACACGGCTGTCCCCACGGCTGAGGTGGACATGTGCTTGTGGCGGCACCAAACCAGGGCCAGCCCAGATGGTGGGGAACAGCTACATATGGAAAACCAGACGCTGATCCTGAGCCTGAGTCTCCATGTGTGGATTCTAGAACCTTCCACCATAGCGCAGACTGCGAGTCACAGAACGATCGCATTGCTGCTCAAAAGAGAGCGAGACCATTCATCCGTGTAAGCACCTGTGCATTAGGTGCCCACCAGGCATGCATACCTCGCCGCCATGTCGGGCCGGGAGGGGAGTGCTGGGTGAACAGCCGTTGCTGCCAGTTGTCACCAAGCAGGGCTCTGATGGGTAACAGAACGAAATGCAGCCCGACCCTGCGTCCTCTTCGTCTCTTGCATTCCACATGCATTCGTGGGATTAGCAGTGCACGGTGGCTGCTGCCGTCTCTCCTTGTGAATCGGACCCCACCAGCGAACGCATGTCCAGGGCTTTGCTCCATTCTTGTGGCTAAGGTCGATTGTACTTTGAGATGGCAGCAGCGCCCTGGCCATATTTCTAGTGCCTTCCAACCTAGGAAGGCTTCCAGCTCTGTACTGGACGGTGTTCTGTTGTAATCCATTGGCTCATTTTTACAAAGAAGTCACCAGGCCTTTGTTAATGGTCTGACTCAGTGTGGCACCCTAACAGCGCCCATTGTTTACTGTGCTTGCAGTGTACCAGGCCCATGGACTTCTGAGTGCATTTTAATCTTCATATTGAGGATGTGGTGCTCTCAAGTCAAAGTTGGGCTGCTAACTGCCAGGTTGGCAGTTCAAATCCACCAGCTGCTCAGAGGGGGAAAGATGAGGCTGTCTGCTCCCATAAAGATGTACAAGGCCTTGGAAACCCTATGTAGCACCCCTATGAGTCAGAATAGACTTGATGTCAATGGTTTGTGTGCTTGTTTGTTTGAAATGGTCATTTCACAATAGAAAACAGGTTCGAAAGCCTGGTGACATGCCCAGGGACCCCATGTTAAGCATCACAATGACAGCTGGAGTCCAGGTCTGCTGAACCCCAGAGCCGGCCCTCATAATTCACAGCTGGAGATTTTGCATATATTAAGCAGGTGAGGGTTTGAAAAGTTTGCAAAGATGGATTTCCAAAATGTTGCCGCCTCTGAGTCTCAAGGGCCATGGTTCTAACCGGCTGGGGTTTTCTGTGGGGGAGCATAAGAAGCCCCTTGGGAACCCGAGGTGGGTGCAGCTCTTCTCCAGAAAAATGTATCCAGTCTAGTGATCAAGCTTAGGGATCTGTGGACTGGCCTGGGGGCGCTGGGCAGGACCGAGAGAGCAGTCTGAGCTGAGGAGCGCTCTGTACCGGGGAAACATCCAGGCATGGAAAATACACTGCACATGCCAAAGCAAGTTTGTGCACAAGCACACCTGTATGTAAAATGAACACACACAGCAGACATCTTGCACTTGGAAAACACACATACTGACACACGTGCACCTGCCCATGCACACAGATCCCCACGATCACACACTTGCACACAAATGCAAATCCAGCAGAACACATGGCCCTGGAAACGTCCATCCTCCTTGTACACGGGTTCACACCTGCAGAGGGCTGACATGCTCTCGTGCATAAGCACACACACTCAGAAACCTTGTCTCCTGGCACTGACAGGCCCTGAGAGACACATAAGTTAGTCAGCTCTTTGTCCACCTACAGCCCAGACCTAACTGCACCCAGCAAGGAGCTCCCGCTACTAGGGGTCCCCATCCCTCCTGCAGCCCTGCGGGCTCAGTCCTGCCTACTGTCCCCCTCCCCACCTTCCTGGCTTGCCTGCCTCTCCCACCTCAGGCCTTTGCACATGAGGTGCCTTCTGCCTGGAAAGCTCCTCCCAGAGCCCACAGGCCCAGATTCATCCTTTGGGTCATGGTTCTCCCTGAGGCCCAGGTGGGTCAGGTGCTCTTGTTGCCCCACAGCCACCCACCCTAACTCTTAGTGTCTTTCTCAGCCCCTGGCATGGGGGGGATGCCCACTAGTTGGGGTTTGGCTGAAGGGCCCTCAGGGGGTGTTGCTGAAAGACAGGACAGGGGAGACAGCTTCCCAAGGCGAGTGCAGCCCCTGCACGCCCCTCCATCCCAGTTGCCGGGGCTTCCTTTCTGGAGTGTGGTCAGTAGTGGGCTACTTCAGAGCCCTGAAGGGCAGCCTGGCGTGGGGTAGGTGAGGGCTGGGACTGGAGGAGGCAGACCTCTTCCCCAGGCTGCCATGTTGTCCACTTAGGCCCCCGGGGAGAAGAAAACAGGCCAGACTAGCTCAGCCTGGCACTGGCCACCTCCACTAGGGGGTGGGGGGTGGGATTCCCATCCATTTCCACCCCCTGCCACGAGGGACCAGGGGACTTTGTCTCTGCAGGGCTCAGGCTGCGATCTGGAACAGTGATAGGGGCTAATTGCAGGAGTCAGCCAAGCGGGCGGGGGGCCAAGGACCATTATGAAAAGGAAGGGAAAGAAAGGGGGGCGAGGGTGGGGGCGGGGAGGCGCCATCCCAGTCCCGGCTCTGCTGCTTTCTAACTCAGTGACCTTGGACAAGGCTTACCCACTCCGGCTTCACTTTGTCCCTCTGCAGAGACGGCAGACTCGCCCCTGGCAGAAGAGGTCCCGTGGCTAGCAGCTAACCTTACCTCTGGCTCCTGGACCTCAGGGCCACGGGCCAGGCACAGCCAACTCCCTGGGCCCTCCCTTTATAGGGAGCACCCTGGGGAGTGTAAATAGTGACTGCTATTTGGAAATTGTGCATGGGCTGATCATGGAAAGACGGAAGGTTCAAAGTCACCCATCCAGTGGTGCCTTGGAAGAAATGGCTGGCTGTCTACAAAAAAAAGCCATTGAAAATCCGATGGAGTTCAGTTTGACTGTGATGCGGGTGCAGCCGGTCGCCATGCATCAGAGTCACCATGCCCATGCCTGGTGATAGTATTGGTAGTGCATTTTACAGACAGGAAAAGTGAGGCTCCAAGAAGTCACCTGCCTCATTGGTCACCCAGTGGGCATCGGGCTGGGGAAGATGCCACCCATCCATTCTCCTGGTCCCAGGATTTGTCCAAAGGATGTTGGCACTGGAGTGGGAAGAGGCTTGGTGGCTTGCAGCCGAGAGCTGCAGTGTGGGGACGGCCAGAGGAAAGCAGAGTTCAGGCCGGGATGAACGTCACAGGGGCAGGAAGCAGCCCTGCAGGGCCTTGGGGTGGGGGTAGGGGGACACAAGGCAGGAGTGAGCCAAGGTGGGAGCCTGGTTCCGGGGGTCTCAAAGTCTTGCCACATTCCTGGGACTGGGGGTGGGCCTTTGGATGTCTTCCCAGGCCTCCCCCTCCCCAGGCACAAAGCCTCTTTTCTATCTCTGGTCCCTTGGCTGCCAAGGGCCGCCTGGGGCACTGGGCTGGGGGTGGAGGGAGGGCTGATGGGACGTGACATCCCCATGCTGTCTCTAACAGACTGGGATGAGGGCCATGAGGGCAGGTCCTGACAGTGGCCCACACACTCCTCCGTGTCAGCCCCCAGCCCCCAACTTAATGCACACAATCGTGGAACCACCATAGAGGCTCCTGTATATGTATCAGGCCCCATGCTCCAAACAGGCATGGGCCGTGGGGTTACCATACCCATTTTATAGAGACGAAAAACTGAGGCCTAGGGCTATGATGTGACCTCTTTGAGGTCACACATCAAGTGGGCAACAGAGCTAGGAATGAACCCCATTGTGTCCGAGGCGGAGTCTCAAATTCCTCATCATGACTTGCACAGCTGTCTCTGAGACTCCTCCCAGCACCCCCTCCCCCGCCCCCCCCAGGCAAATCACCTGGCTCCCTCCTCCAGGAGGGTTGCCAGGGGGACATTTTTGGAAATGGACTGGCCTTGGTTTAGGTGCCCCTGGTCTTTCTAGGCCTCCATCTACTTATCTGTAAAATGGGGACAACAGCATTGCCCTCAGGGCTTCGGGGATGCTCAGTTGTGACAGCCCCCTGTGAGTGAACAGCTGGGGTGAAGGTCCCCAGGGGCCACCGCTTCACTCTCCTCCTCCCACCCAGGAAATGCTGGGAGGCCCTGCTGTGCTCTGGCTGGAGAGGACTAGAGCCTTATGCCCTCTCGGCCAGCATCCTGGGATGTTGGGAATTCTAGGTTCAGGCTCCACCACCTGAGCATCTGGGATCCAGGACTCCCTCTCCATCTGCCTTGGGCAGGCCTCAACCTCCCCCTCTATGAGACCAAACCCAAACCAAACTTACTGCCATCGAGTCTGTGCTGACTCATGGAGACCCAACAGGACAGGGTAGCACTGCCACTGTGGGTTTCTGAGACTGTAACTTTTTATGGGAGTAGAAAGCCCCGTATTTCTCTTGAGAAGCGGCTGGTGGTTTTGAACTGTGGACCTTTCAGATGACAGCCCAGCGCTTAACCACCACACCACCAGGGTTCCTCTCTATGAAATAGCAACCATAAAAAAGCATGCTTCTAAGGTGATTGGGAAGGTTCTGCAGACGGCATGGCCAGCACACAGTAGGGGCACTTGCAGCACCTGCTACTCATCCATCCCTGCCTGGGATTCGAGGCCACCTCTCACCACATTACCTGTCTCTGCTAGCCTGGCTGGGTGGGGGCAGGGGACGGAAGGATGCTGGCCCCTGATCATTGGGAAAAGGGCATTTCTGAAAAGAATTGAGGCTGTAGAGGGGCGGAGGCTGGGCAGGCCTTTGAATGGGATGAAAGGAAGAAAAAGCCTAGAGAGGGCCGGCCAGGCAGTATTGTCTGCCTTGAACAGCAGTGGCGCCCGGAGAAGGGAACCCCAGCAGGGGTGGGGGCTGCAGTCAGGACTTGTGCAGGGCGGGTCCCAGGCAGTCACGAAGGCTAGAAAGACCTGGATTGGAATCCCAGTTCTTCCATGCATGGCCCAGAGCCTAGATACTATTGATTCTCGCCGGCCTCAGTTTGGTCATCTGTTCAATGGGGACCACACTCTCTACCCCCTCTTCAGTCCTGGAGGGATTCCTCTAGATCCTGCCTGTGCGGGCCAGCACTGGGGAAGGTACTGAGAGACGGTCCCGCCCACGCCGGGCGCGGGGGGCGAGGGGAGGTGGGGGGGAAGAGAATGTATCCAGCTCTGGGAAGAGGACTAAGAAGAGTCGGTCTCTGTCCAAAATGCCAGGTCCCAGGGGGCTGACACTCACCAGGGGCTCTAAGACTCCACCCCTGTCCTCCCCTCCAAGGAAATAAATAGCCCAGTTTAAAATAAA